TGACATACCCCTTATAGCCCACTGATAGCTCAACTATATTTATTACATTTATGAATGTATGAAAACACCAGCAGTCGCAACAAAATCATGTTTAATTGTCAAGAAGACCAAAAATTACTGAATTTTTCCCATGAAAACTCACATTTTATGTGCAGCAATTTTGTGGAAATACATGTGCACTTATATTTATATCAGATATGTAAGCCATTTGTAGGTATCTCTGTCATATGATCTAAATAGCTACAGTTTCATGAAAATAAAACCTGCTAATTATAGTACAAGGAAACAACCATGGCCTTCAGAAAATGCAGCCCTCCAAAATGGACATGTTCTTTTAAGATTACACATTCGACTCCTTTAAAGGGAATATACAACATTTGCAAACATCGAAAAATAAAACTACCAAGTTTTTACGAAATACCTTACTAGGATGTTGGTAAATGACAGTCTCAAGCATCTTGTAAAATTATGGCACCTGGTGTGAAGTCATTTTCAAGAAAATGGTATTTTTGTATACATTTCCAACGGTGGTCGGCCGACCAGCGTTGGAAAAACCTAACTATTTTTCAACTACTGCTCCAAATTAACCATTTTTTCGGTCCAAATTTTGTTTGCTATTGGTTACATGTTTCATGAACGGGTGCAGGCCAGCTAGACTGGTTCCCGTGCCTTACAATTTTCCATAATCTATAAATTGATCCATTTTATCTTTTGTGGAGTCAGGGAACCAGACTACTTAAACATTTTTGTTTTTCTTGGTTTTTCCAACCTTTTCGAACACAAAACTTCAAAAATGTCAGTGTAACAATATTTGATCTATGTATACTAACCCCTCAAATAGTTCATTTCTGAAAATTACATCAAAAACCAATGATGTACATTCCCTTTAACCAATTTTAATACATTTTCACCTAAACCATCCACCTGTAGAATGTAGCCGTTGACAACTCTAAAGCTAATTTGAAATGAACCTTCTACACCAGCCCCCCCCCCCCCCCAAAAAAAGAAAAACAACTGCCTCCGCTTATATCTGCCCCGGCGCTTCATTAAAATAACACGCATGGGTCAGTAGTCTTCATGGTCTTCGAGTATAGTTTCAAAAGCAAAGTGAGCAGTTTAAAGGGAATATATATAGATTTGCAAACATCCAGAAATAAAACTTCCAAATTTCTATGAAATACTGTACTTGACTGTTAGTGAAGCACGGTCCAAAGCATACCCTGTAAAACTCATGGCGCCTGATTTGCTGTCATTTTCAAGAAAAGTGGTATTTTTGTATCAATTTCCAACGCTGGTCAGGAAAAAACTGTTTTCCCCCAAATACTGCCCCCAATTTACCATATTTATTTAGTCGACATTTTGTTTGCAATCGATTGCACACCTTTGAACGGGTACAAGCCAGCTAGACTGTTTCCCTGACCATACAATTCTCTGACGTCTATAAATTGCTGTGTTTCATTTAAAGAGGGGTCAGGGAACCAGACTACAAGAAAATGATTGTTTCTGGGGATTTCCAGCATCTATAACGTCATGCAAGTCCGTGTAAGTTTGCTATAAAATGCTTACCCCCCAAATACAGCCTTTTCTGAAAATTACAGGAAAAGTTATGTTATACATTCCCTTTATGAGCTTATGCCATGCAATGACATGTTGGTCACATTTACCCAGGTGGCCTCAATACAGTGTTTAGCCAAATACAGGTGAAATATTTGTAAATTTTGAAAGCATTTAATGCTGGGATGCCGTGCCTACGATAATCAACGAAGAATCGAACTGAACCATTTTTTTTTTCCACGAGCATAATAGGCGCTGCCCAAGGTCCGGATGCCGGTTCTATGATGCTGCCGTCCATCATCTTCTTGATTTCTTTCTCTTCCGTCTCCTTCTGAAAAAGGGGTATGCAACAAGCCCCTTGTATTATGGGATTCGCACTTCTGGTGTCTATGGAGTGTTCAGTTAATGAAGCAAGGCCAATGTTGAGAAAACAAATCTCGGTGTTCGCAAATAAGCCTGTGTATGCGGCCCCTCTGTTAATTGGGACAAGGCACGATGCAACATTTCCTGCATTGTTTCTGGGAGTTGGCCATTCTGTTTATCTGTCCTCCGCTCCGCCGTAAGTTGTTCAACCCTTTCTCCGACAGTTTCACCAGTTCTCAATTCTGTGCTTGAAATAGGGAGGAGGGGCGGGCAATGACATACGGTCTGGAACAAGCCCGCTGCTGTTCCCTTTCGCAAGATAACTGTGTCCTCACTGAGGTTTTGGATGCGAAAGGAACCGAAGACGTATCAGACCGAGTGACTGCTGGGGCGAGCTCTATGCTGTTGTTCTTCAGTAAGCTCTAGATAGGTTCAACAATCCCAAGGCCAACTGAACGGTTCTGTCGCTCTATATCACCTCCGACAACAATCTCAGAAAATGGTGGAATGGGTACTGTATCTTTCACCGTCACTCGGCAGCTCTGTTGTGCGTTGATGTTTCTCAGAGGAACTTCCAAATTTCCATACACCAGGTGTCTTCTTCCAACGTCGATGACGCACTTGTGCTTGTCCAGGAAGTCCAATCCAAGTAGAATGTCATTATGAATATTAGCTATCACCATTTCGTGGTGCATCTTTCTACCACCTAGCTGAAGCTCGACTGTTGCCTCCCCTTATAAACACTTAGCAATGTCTCGTTTGCTTGGAAAACTTGCACACTAGAACTCTTGATTATTGGCTGTTATCCAACTGATCTACCACTCTTTTGGAAACGATGGAGATATTCGCACCCGTATTGAGAAGCATTTCTACTGGAGTTCCGTTGATGTGCCCAGCTACATGGAGCCCCCCCCCCCAACCGGCGCTATGGTTCCACTATAAAACGCTCTCTGTGGTGGCATTTCGTGCATGGCTGACCGTCAGCCATCAGAGTCAGCCTTTATTCGTTTCCCCGCTGTTCTGTTTCTGTCTTTGGGTTGCGCCATTTGGGGCAGTCCCGCTTGAAGTGGCCCTGTTCTCCACACTTGAAACATCCTTTCTGGTTCTTTCGGGAGTCATTTTCTCGACGGATCAAAGACTTTAGCTGTTTGCCTATCTCTTCCATACGCTGCTCAAGCTTAGATACGGTACTGTCGCGGGGTTCACACTTGCTGACCTCATTCACAAACACCTCTTCCTTCCCTCCCCCGATGGAGCGTAGTCTCTTGGTGTTGTTCTCCTGCTCAGCACCTTTTATCGCTTCAAGTTCGATCGCAGTTGTTAGTGCTTCTTCTAAATTACAGGGACACATTTGAAGCTCCCGTGTCCGTGTGTCCCCATCTGCCAAAGCATCAAGTCCACCTGCAACACTTATCAACACACTGTGTAGGGACACTGGGGAGGAAGGGACCGCTTAGATCAGATCACTAATGGAGGACCGTGAAATCTGGGCATCCATTGCAAATGCTCGGTTGAGGCCGCCATAAGTAAAGTAAGTAAGTACAAATGGGAATTACATTGCACCTTAAATGAAATCCATGGGTGAGCATTTGTGATTGAAATGAGAATTGAGCTCGACGATGTTCTGGAACGAATTTATAGTTTTGTTCTAGGGAATGTGTGTGATATAAGGGTTAAAATCAAACCTATAGTTAAAGGGTCCATGTAACGGAGTTTTTCAAATGCCATCCTTGTTTCATTTAGCGTACTGTTTATTTGTAATCTTCATAATGCGTTTTGTTGCCTTTTTGTTTTTTATGCATCTGAAAACTTCCATATTCATGAGCAAAACTCTGACGTTATTCGAGGCAGAAATTTGACTTCTATTGCTTTTTCAGCAAAAAAAAATCACAAAATGTTTAGGGTTTACAATGGTTACTTTTCTGCTTTCACTTGGTTTATTCTTGTTTCAGTATACGACATTAAGACAATGCGGGGCGGATATAGCTTTCAGGAAACTGGGTGGGGGGGGGGGGGTGTTTGACGTAAAGTCTGAGGCCCTGCTAGGGTGGACCGGGGCATTCAACCGAATGTTTTCAAAATGTACGATGAATGTTCCTGCATTCTGAGATAATTTAAGAACGAATGGGAGCTTTAGCATTCCATTTATTATTTTGTTCAAAAAGTGACTTGATTTTGTTCGTGATTATCTATACATATTATGCAAACATGCCCTGCATTATTTAGCAAGCGCCCTCAAAGTTGTAGAAATGCGGTAATAATGCAGTGTCCTCAGCGTGAATATAACGAAGAGAGGAAAGGTCGATCGTTAGATGCGTAAAGATACGGAAACCCGCACGCAACCATCCAAACCACGGAACGGAACGGAACCCGCACCCATAGATTTGATACAATTACTCGGCAAATCTATTAAGGCACTCACTATTCATCGCTTCTCTCTAAAGGCGTGCAACACGGGGAACTTCAGCAGCGGCACGTGGGTGGCAGCCCAGAATTTGTATGCAACAAAGGGCTAAGAATTGTACTTGGCATCAGCCTCCAAAGTTACATAACACATTACCATGAGCTCGATAGTACAAATTTAGCCTACTAAACTAATAAATAAACTCGGGCAATAAAAGGAATAATTTTAAGCTGTCTTGTGACAGCGATATTATTTTTTTTTTCAGAATATGTAAATGTTATGCAAAATGCAAAGTTTATGTCCGAATAATAATAATTGCATGAAGGAAAACAACTACACATTTCTGATATCACCACATTTCTTTTTATTTATTTATTTATTATTTATTGATTAATGTATTGATTGATTGATTAATTTTTTTGGGGGGGGGGCAGTGTGGGAATGGATGGGAATATAACCGCTTAGCCTAATTTCAAGTCCCTTCAAGGCAGTTTTTGACCTTTTTTGTTACTAACATTTAAAAGCCGATGCCGCTGGGCCCCTTTTTTTTTTTATCCTTTTTTCAGTTTTGTCTTTCCTCCGGGACAGTTCAGGGGGAAGGTCGGACCACCCTCGTGACTATAAAGCTGCTGATGTTATTGATAAGTTGAAACAGTTCAAAGTCCAACCCAGTTCACTGCAATTCATATGCCAATACCATTACTCTATATGGTTCACGGAGATTTGTCAGAATATATTCTAACTGAACCATTTTTGTTTCATGTTTTACCGGAATGCTGAAAATCGTTCCTCAAGATTTTTGAGCCTGATATGTTCCCGGTAATGTATAGGTTGGAACTGCCGTCACTACTCAACGACACATGAATGCTGGTTTGCTAAAGTACAATAGCCGTGTACTACACTAATTCACAATTACGTCTCACGTGATTAGGTAAGTGTTTGATGGTGAACAAAATAGTATGCACTCTAAAAATTAATTTGTCATTTTGACTAAAATAAAATTGTCCAGTGATATGTCTCGTACGACTTACCTAAATTAGTCACAGAGTATTGATGACTAATGACTATAGATTAGTCAAGAGTCAGACTCAGACTAGAAAATATAGTCATATGACAAGAATAGAAACCTGCTTGATACGACTAATCTGTAGTCAAGCGACTTGCGCAATTTGTAACTGAATTTCTGACTAATCACACTTTAGTCCAGACAATATCCACTGAATTAGCACTTTTTTGTGTCCGTTCTAGTGTCCTTAATGGTACACCATAATGTGTACATCTCCGGATCACAATGGGGTCACAGCTGACTTGTATCTCACTCGTTGTGCAATTGGATCACAGGGCCAGTGTTTAGCTCCTTGCATCTACCACTGCATGATCATGATCACACCTGCAAAAGAAACACACAGAAAAAATCTTTCTATATTTGTTGCATATTATTTATTTTTCTCCTCGTTTTTTTTTACTCAAAATTTAATGTCCAAATTTCAAAATCAACAAAATCGTGGAATGTTCTTAATCATGCAATAGTTCCCCTCCTATCTTTAGTATATTTAGTTTAGGAATTGGTACATCGTATTGTTTGGCACAACAAACTCACTAGTCTGTTGCAAAAAAAATTGCACAACGACATGGCTGATACGTATCTATTAGGCCTACCGCATGCGTTTTTGCAGCATAAAGATGTGCCTAAGTACAAACATACATTTTTGTAAGAGTCTCACTCGGTATCTATAGGCTACAGCTTATTCTTACTGATTCAACCCACTTCCCTCACAATCATTACTCATGTCAATTAACAACTTCATACGAAATCATAGTTTTCCTACCTTCGTCATGGTTGAAATGGAGGAAGGAAGATGTCCGTTTAATGGCTGCCTGACAACTGAGTGTAACATATCCGTATACACGTACGCCTAACATAGTATCATCGATCGAGTCCCGCTTTTTTAAACACATCAACGGCGGGAAAATAACAAACTTCGTTAGTCAGAAGGAATATATGACTAGTTTTGACAAGTATTCGATCTTTCTTCAGAGACATTGACTGCGCGTCATTTGTCAAAACCACCACTGATGCCTAATTTGGGTTAGTCAATGACTTTCTTATACACGTAACTAATGTACATTAGTCAAAATGACAACTTATTTTAGTCATCACTGACGGCAAATTAGTCTTCCATAACAGATAATTAGTCATTCAGCAATTACTAAACAAAGTTATTCATTTTGACAAACAAAGAGGCCTCAATGACGAATTAGTTTTTAGAGTGTGAGAGTCCAAGAACAAACGGATGGCGTATGCAGCGGCGGGGGTTTGTTTATTGTTTGTGTTTAAGGAAATGACAGAACGAGTACCTCACAAAGTGCCACTGCAGAACATCTGCTAGAGGGGGATCGGGGCAAAAATGTTCCCTCCGCGCCCCTTAATATCCCAGTGGGTAGGCCTACAGATTGTAACCAAGTACATACTGAATGTAAGGCTAGGATCACACATCCCGAAATGCCACGAATACCCCGATCTATCCCGAATAAAAATTCTTGATGGCATCGGGAGAAATTAGCCCCATTCGCTGTTAGTAAGAACAACATAAGAATGAAACAAAAAATAATCGAGAACTAGGTACGAATTGGAAGCCGAATCAGACCAAACCAAGCCAAATTGTAGCGATTTTGTCAAGAATAACGATACGAATAACTCCGATCCACAATGACCCAGAATTATGCCGATTTAGTGCATTCGTAAGTTATTCTTATAATATTCGTACATTTCTTGATACATTTGAAATGATTCGGCATGATTCTGGACTGTTAACACCATAAATGACTCTACGAAACTGGTAAGAATGCTGTAAGAATATCCAGAATTAGTTAATAATACAACAAGAGTAAACCCAAAATTTAAATTGGTTCTCGAACCAGCCCGACAATTTTGAACATGTCCAAAATTGTCGGGGAAATTCCCGATCGTTAACCATCTTTCACCAAACTAACAGAATCATCCCAAGGCAGCCAAAACCATTCCCCGATTTACTCAAGAATTGCTATTCGCGGCGATTCGGCTTAAAAATCGGGAATGTGTGAACCTATAGCATTAGGCATGCAGTTAAACTTGCACCCAGCTGAATTTATCTCAAGTGAGCTGGGTGCATGTTTTAATGTTTTCTATTACAGTAAAATTTAACTATAGAGTGTTTTCAGAGCGTACACAAAGGACAGGTGTAGGCCCTACTGTATTTTGCGAAAATGTTATAATCGCTATCTAATACCATTGTCTGCCAACCTTTTCGCGTAAATGCTGCAGCAGTGTACTATTGTTGGAACTGGCGTAAATCGTGCATGCTTTCGTAGGCCTGCATGTACATGTTTACACATTCCGTCCCCCTTACCCATGTGTTCTGACTTATGACGTTATTTGAGAGAAAAAAACAACATAAAGGGACACTGATTAGGTGCATTTTTAATTTTCATATTGAATAGGAACAATATGGATCTTTGTCGTGCGAATGCCATGGCCATGTTACCATGATAATAGCAATTCAGTGCAGAGAAGTTATATCCACGACTTTATCGAATACCTTCCACAACAAACACTGCGATTTTAATTTAAAACAAAAAATGCTATTTCTTTTGTTTTACGCACGATTTATGAAGCGGACGACCGACGAATGTTTTAGAATACTGCCAACATGGAAAGAGCAAAACGACAAATGAGGACAACCTCGAAAGTCTGGGGCAAAGTCATCGCCGTATCTTCTTTCATTGCCATGTTCCTCGTATCTGTGGTAATACGCTGCACTGGAGTTCTGTATGTAAGCTGGCAGACTTCATTTGATTCAACCGCTGCACAGACTGCAGCAATCGCCAGCATTATCACATCCTCCTCGTATTGTACATGTAAGTCATTTTAACCCTTATAGATGCAAGCAATAATCCTTTCCAGCATAACTTTTTGAAACACAGTGTCCATAGGTTACATTTAAAGAAAATACTATCTTAGAGCTTCTCGTTTTGGATGATAATGAATGTTACCACAAGATCATTTCAGATTACTTCAGATTGATGTTTCTTTCGGCAGCTATTTTTGCAGGTGTGTTTTGCAATCGTTACGGATGTCGTTTCACCTGTATTCTGGGAGGCGTTCTGACGTTCTTCCCAATATTAATGAGCTTCTGGGCGACCAGTCTGTGGTCAATGTACGCAGTGGCAGTTTTCACAGGTGAGCACCTCGGTGGTTAAATTCTGTGCACAAAAAAAAAATTGAGAAATGACAAAACAACTGATTCTTACGCAGCCCGATCGTACCTAGTTTAAAAAGTGATTTTGTTTGTTTTTGCGAAATAACGCAATACCTACTGCAAAAAAACCGCACAATTTTTGTGAAATAGTGCAATATGTATCCTTTTTGCGAAATAGCGCAATACTTTTGTGTACTCACGTCAATTTGTCGAAGAACTGGGTCTATAACTGTACACTACGCATTAAAAATTATGCCACAAGATAATAAAATAAAATGGAAACGCAATAATCTGGATGTTGAAAAAGACGTGAGTCGCGCGTTGCCTCCAGGCACCTGACCGGTTGTGTATGTACCCTGCATTCTTGTATTTCGATTTAGGGTCCATTTTAACCACATTCATCTCGAGTTCCTTCTTTATACGTGGCTGCAAACAACCCACAAACAATTAATCAAACATACAACCATATTGCACTGTAACCTTTAAGAAAATATTTTGTTCATGTTTAGGTGTCGGTACATCTTTCAGCTTTCTTGCATCTAACGTTGTTCTGGCAGAATATTTCAAGACGTACTACGCAATAGTGAGTGGTATTACCATGGCCGGTGGCAGCACCAACATGATCGTGTTCCCGCCTCTCTTACGCCTTCTTCTCGATGCATACGGATGGCGGGGAGCCATGCTTGTGACATCTGCAATTTGCGCAAATCTGTGTGTGGTAGGGGCATTGTACCGTCCCTTGCGTCACACACCACGGAGACCAACAATTGTTACAAAATCCACTGGCAATATTGGCATCAGCCCCAACAGTAATACATGTTCAAATCCTCCAGATTCACACGTGCAAAAAGGACCTACCACTAGTGAAGGGAAGTGCGTCACCTCAACGGCTTCCTTGCGGCGTGTGTTCTCAGCGTTACGACTTGGATTGCTGGTTAAGAGTTACCGTTTTTCTCTTCTTTGCTTGACCAGTATACAACTCCAAATGACCTACTCCTGTGCATCCGTTTTTTTGGTGCCAAGGGCCAAGTTTTCTGGTACCGATGACATGAAAGCGTCATTTCTGCTCAGCATTTTTGGGTTTGGAAGTTTAATCTCGCGAGTTGCAAGTGGCTTCTTCGTGACCCGCAAAACACCCGTCGAGGCCCTGAACACATTCTCATTTGTGCTGTGCTGCGTTGGTTTACTGTCTTCCCAAGCCGAGACCTATGAATCCTTTGCAGCTTCTGCCTGCTTTCTTGGCATGGGTACAGGCGCCAACAAAGTATGGAGCAATATATTAATTCGTAAACTCCTCGGCTTACCTCGAGTGGCATCTGGACAGGCGATTCACCTCCTGTTGTGCGGTGTAGGAGACTTGATAGGTCCAATTGTTGCAGGTAATTCTTTCGTTTCATTTTTGGTAATGATTTTTTAATTTGCATTTAGTTTCTACATCAAAACACATGAGTTTCTATAGCAAAACACTTTGAATCTTGAATGGAACACAAGTCACGCTGGATCTACACCAGTTTGGACTCAATGGGGTCGTACACGATTTTAATGTTCACAGTGTATACGCACGTGCGAAACTTATTGTGAGAACTAAACGTTCAGGAGTTGGATTGGAAGATTTATGCAGTTAAGTAATGACTCATTCAATAAATTGTACAGGGCGGTGCAAAAAGAAGGAAACCCACTTTTGACAACAATTTTCACCTACTTGTTGAGCATATTTCAAACATTCAATTTAATGGTATCAAAATATTGATCTTTAAATCATAACTATGGTAGTGCTAAAAAAAAAAAATTAAATTTGAACATTTAATTTTCGGGGTGCCACACCCAAAAAACACGTATAAGGCATCCGTATAGATGCCTTTCAAAACAGCAAAAAGCCATCGCCTGTTGTCCGTCTCAATGTGTACAATTGGTTTTAAAAGGATAATTACTGTAGTGTACATTTTTAGATACTTACACTGAACTTGTTGGCGCCCTTTTTTGTTCCTATTGTAAAGGTTTGTTGTACGACAGCACAGGAAGCTTCGGAACCGTATTTTACGTTTTGGCTGGTCTGGTCGCCGCCGCCGCCCTGCAGATGTTACTCATGCCAATGCTTCGCCGAATTGAGCCCGGTGTTGCTGAAAAAGAGGAAACGTCCACTGGATCAGTATCTTAGAGCCTCATGCTAGGTTCACACATTCCCGATTTTTAAGCCGAACCGTATGGTTCTTGGCTGCCTCGGGATGATTGGTTAGTTCGGTGAAAGATCGTTAAAGATCGGGAAGCACCCCGACAATTTGGGACATGTTCAAAATTGATTCGGGAACCAATTTAAATTCTCGATTTATTCTTGTTGTATTCGTAACTTATTCTGGATATTCTTACAGCATTCTTACAAGTTTCGCACAGTTATTCTTGGTGGTAACAGTCCAGAATCGTACCGAATCATTGCGAATGTATCAAGAAATGTACAACTATTATAAAAAATAACTTACGAATACACTAAGATTTTGTTAAGAATAAATACGAATAATCTATGAATTTAGCAAGAATGAATCACGAATAATGCTGAATTAGACAGATTTTCCTAAGATTTTTTTTAGAATAACCAAGAATCAAGCAGAATTAAATACGAATTGATCAAGAATAGTCCCGAGTGATCTGGAGATATACGCTGCTCGGCAAACTGGAACTGACTAACGATAAGCGCTTGTCTAGATCGGTTTATATACCGGGATTCGATTTTTTTCCCTAAACAACAATAAAGCAAATGGAGTGTAAGTCCTCATAGGCCTAATCATTTAATAAAATTGATGTTTGTAAGGCGACGCCAGTTTAAAGGGGCTCGCGAGTGCTGTACACGTGTTATTTGCTGCACTATACAGAATGTTTAAAGGAAGAAAAAGACTGTGTTAGTGTGTGAAGTTATAAACTTGAACACAGTCGAAGTGATTCCAACTTAAAGATGATTCATCAGCTTTCCATTGATATCTTATTATTGTCAGATCAACGGTGCTCGGTAATCCATTGATTTCAGAGTAAAAAGGGTAATTATTTGCATAGATGCAAATAAGGTATAAATGGAAAGCTCATGAACTGCCCTGAACACGGAGCCACTTTGGCAGTATTTAAGTTCATCACCTTCACATTCTAACAAATAAGAGTGGCGATTGGGGTTGAATTGAAAAAGCAAAATATACTGGTAACTTGGTTAGGGGGTATTTGTACACTATTCTGTAATGTAGTGTTAATAATTGTCGGATTTGAACAGCGCCCCATTGAAAGTATGGTACGAGTCCCCCCTCCCCACACAATTGTACACAATAGGGCCTTATCTATAGAGAACGTTCATGCACAGAACGCTCATGTACCTATAGAGTATATACTAACTTTCTCTCAGAGATCTTAGTTTTTTGCGTTTGGACTTGCACCTTCTTGTAGACTTCTGGGTAAATGATACAGCTCAGCAAAGATCAAAAGAAGATTGTGTACTGGATGTTATTGTCATGTCATCCAATGAATAACCACACCTGAATATTGTGTGGCTTCATCGCTACAGTAGCAATGAATGCACAGAGTTTACTCGTGCTTATCCAATCTATACCAAACCTTTGCCCTCTAACTCCACCTTTACGTGCAAGGTCATGCACGAGCTGAATGTGAACGACGGAAGAGCGATAATGAATGATAACAACTCTGCTTTTTAAACTCTATTTTTAGCCTATTTGAGATAGGGGACACAATAGGACGGCGCTATAATGTTGGTTTGGGTAAATACAACAGCGCCCTCGTATTATGTCTGCCATATCTCAATTCGCTCGTACCCCCCGTCTAGTCCTGCAAACAGGACGCTGGGATACTCTGATGAGCTTCACAGAATCTTGTGAAGGAAGTGGCCTTTGACCTATGTATAAAGCATCTGGCTGCAGCTGTTCAAGACTGCAGTTAGACATTGTGCGTAAATGCTATTCCCACAGAATACAGGGTGCTAAAGTCTGGATTCATGATGTTATTTCCTCGAGCCCGCATTGGACCGAATTTGTTTGAACGTAAGTCAACACAGATCAACCTTTCCGCCTGCACAAGACACATGCGCACAGAATGTAGGCCTACATGCATTGGATGAGGTAGTAAGCTGCCCACAATGCTTTGCGCGCCGCATTGCTCCTTTACAAAATTTTGTGAAGGAGATCAGCCCTTCCCAGTGCCCTATTTGAGGGCGGTGTGTACGAGCGTACGCATATCATAGAAGGTCAGTTCCATAGACTAACAAAACCCTGGCTATGCGCCTGTGTGCAAGTTCTAATCACCCGTGACCCTGGACAGTTATAGGCCTATTCGTCACAATTTTATTTGATGAAGCCTACACTTGTATACTGTCTACCACAGCAACGATTTTTAAGGGGTTAATATATTAGAACGGATTTTAAAGAAAGGTTCCCAATGGCGTACAACCTGCAAGACGACAAGTGATAGTCAGTGAGTGAGACAAAGTATACGTCATGGGATGGGGGTACAAAGAGGGCTCTATAGACCTTTATCATGCTGCCACCATTTCAGTTGTGTTCCCTATATTTATTGATAATGTTTTTTGTGTGTTGTGGCCTTATTTTTTAGCTTTGCACGTACTCGTGTATGTTGTGTGTGAAAGTTCGGGAGCTCTCAACAATCCTTGAAGTACAATCGAATTCTTTGTTTTCCTACAAGCCTTGGAAATCTGTTGTCCACAGCCTCAGGCAGTGAAACGAATACCGACCGTGATTTGGAAAATTATGGCAAAAACGTTGTCGCAAATCTATGTCAAAATCACGGTTTTACGCGCGCGCATGGCGGTCTATGCGTACACGTGTAGCCGAAAAACCAAACTACTTCTTTAAACTAGAGGGGGAGTAATACAAGTTTGCTCTCACTATGTGATAAAAAAAACGTTCAACTTGCCGTCAGGTTGATGCCTACTGTTCTTGACACGCACTGCCAACGAATGTTTTTGCCATAATTTTCCAAATCACGGTCGGTATTCGTTTCACAGCCGGAGGCTGTGGACAACAGATTTCCAAGGCTTGTAGGAATACAAAGCATTCAAACTTTCAAACTTTCACACACAAAATACACGAGTACGTACAAAGCTAAAACAATAAGGCCAAAACACACCCCAAAAAATCCCATTATCAATAAATATAGGGAACACAACTGAAATGGTGACAGCATGATAAAGGTCTATAGAGCCCTCTTCGTACCCCGATCCCATGACGTATACTTACTGTCACTTGTCTCACTCACTGACTGTCACTTGTAACGCAGGTTGAACGCCATATTGGGAACCTTTCTTTAAAATCCGTTCTAATATATCAACCCCTAAAAATCGTTGATGTGGTAGACAGTATACAAGTGTAGGCTTTCTCAAAAAAAATTGTGATGAAAAGGCCTGGAACTGTCCAGGGTCACGGGTGATTAGAACTTGCACACAGGCGCATAGCCAGGGTTTTGTTAGTCTATGGAACTGACCTTCTATGATATGCGTACGCTCGTACACACCGCCCTCAAAATAGGACACTGGGAAGGGCTGATCTCCTTCACAAAATTTTGTAAAGGAGCAATGCGGCGCACAAAGCATTGTGGGCAGCTAACATAGAGCTATATTAAATTACTAGAGCGCTAACTCCTCATTCTTGCGCGCGGAGACGCTTTGAAGCCGCTCTGGGTGCAGACATTTTGAATTTATGCGCGTGTTTGTAAAACACAATCAAAATTGGATTGAATTTTAAAAGTGTACTCTAAATGCAACGCGCAAGTAGAATATACCCAAACAACTTAAGCGCGTCATAACGGTTCAAAAACGTCACGGCGAAAAGCATCTGCAGCGGAGGGACGCGCACACGTTACGCTGTTTGCGCAGAGCAAAATGAAACGCTCATTTGCTGATCGTGCGTTTCGGTTTTGGGAGCATCGGCTTCGATGTCGCATCGGTATGGAATACAAACGCAGATATGCAAATAGCCGTACAAAAGCCGTACAAAATTTCGTGTTTTCCATAGGTTTGTGCACAAACATGGATGCGCCCATCCGGCATTTTTTTGTACATCGAGTTAGCGCTCTAGTAATTTAATATAGCTCTATGGCAGCTTACTACCTCATCCAGTGCATGTAGGCCTACATTCTGTGCGCACGTGTCATGTGCAGGCGGAAAGGTTGAGTTGTGTTCACTTGCGTTCAAACAAATTCTGTCCAATGCGGGCTCGAGGAAATTACATCATGAATCCAGATTTTAGCACCCTGTTTCAGGGCGGTGGGTATTAGCGAACGATATGTGAGCAGATTCGGCGATTAATTATGCAAAAAAAAACTTCGTTTTTACTCGATTTCTGACTATTTAGCGTGCCCCTTGTACCGGGTCGTCCGTAACCCGTTATTGTACTACAAATCATGTCAGCCAAATTATTGACCAAGCAACAGCTTATACTACATTTCTGATCGAAATGACGTCACATTTTCTAAAGTCGACTCCGTTGGTTGGCGCCCAGGGTCGCATAAAATATGCATGCTACGATATATCACACAATAGTACCGTGGCTCTGCACACGTAAATGTCTGATCCCCAGTGAAAGTGGAATTTTGTTTGGCCGTTGCAAAATACAATTTTCGTCCCATTTAACCTATTTTCACCGTCCCGCTTTTGTTTATATCATGCAGCGTCCCGATTTTCCTTTGAAATATCCATTCCGTTGCAATCTGAAACTCTACAACTTCACCCTCCCCTAGCTCCCCCCCCCCCCCCCCCCCCCCCCGCTACGCCATTGATGACAAACTAAACCTTGTTACTTTGAAGTATTCGGGTATATTTGTTGGGGACATGTTTATCGTGAGATGAGCATACAAACTCTTTAACGGTTTAATCTAAAACAGGAGCGCATATCATAACGACCAACACTGGAAATCCGCCAGTCTGGCTTGCCATAGAATTGTTCCCGCAACAAGCGGAGTTATGGAATGCGGTCAGCCTTTATACGGGCTTTGGAATTCCGACAACAAAGTCCCATCGCCCACACGCTCGCAAAGAATACGTGCCAAGGCCGTTTTTGCCTCGTATTTTTATTTATTTTATTCACCAACAGGTGATTGATGAACTGCGCTTACGAGGTGTTCTTTAACCCCAGGGATGATAAGTTTTAAAAGGAGTTAGGCTAACCGACATGCCTAGGCCTGTCGATTCCGGCATATTCATTAGCGTCACTCGGCGTGTTTAGGCGTGGGTCTCGGTATCGACCAATGGAAGCCGGCAAAAAGGGTGATATTTATCAATTCATAACCGGTGAAAGAGGCTTTTCTCCAAATGTATACTGCACACCATGATGGATAGGACTCTAATTGATATTCGTCAGGCTTGAAAAGATTGACAGATATTGCAAACGCTAGTCTACCAACTTTTAAAAGTGTACGTAGCCAGGCCTATTTTTCCAATTTCAACGAAAAAAAAACATTTTGAAGGCACTGCTCATGATATGGCACCGGATATGCCGCGTCTTGTGTTTCAAAAAGTATAATATAATTTGCAAGTCTTCAAAAGACTTCAATCAAAGTTTGTAAAAGGTGTAAATTCAATATCTAAGTGAAAGTGATAAAAAACAAAATGCAGACAATCACAATCAATAGCCAAATAGTAGTCCGAGTAACTAGGACTCTAAGGATCGCTTTTGAACTTTTGGACATGGTCGGGCGATAGTAGAGTCCTAGGTACGTGGCCGTATACGGTTACCATTAACGTTTTTTTGACCATTTTCACTCGTACCCCCAATCAAAATCGTCAGATTTCACCCCTAAAACGGTTTTCAAACTGCCTTGTGCG